TAAATCCTGCTTTTTCAAACTAATCTCTAGAAAAATGCGCTACTTGAGATCCTTTTTTTCCTATAAAGATCAGATTCAATTCGAACTCTCTAAGTCGTAGAAAATAGAGCAGGTCGAATACTAATAATATGCATCAAAACTCTTTTCGTATCTGTCTTAATAAAGCACTAGAAGCAATCATAAAAGAACTTCATCTACTAAGTTAAGATTCTGATAAACAAGCGGGATATATTCCAACGAGCAACATGTCGTGCCCTGCATTCTCATCATCTCATCTTACATGTTTCTATTTTTCGAACTTCATTTTCTTCCTATAATAGATAAATTGATTCTTTAATAGATAGGATTTGTGAAAGTAAATTCATAAATTCGATCTACAAGCAGTAGACAGTGAGTACATGTCATGAGACTGTCCGCGCGAGACTAAGGTGTTATTATAGAAAAATTAAATAAATGGAAAGAAACTTAGTTTATTCACGTATGAAACAGTAGAATATAGAGTACTGATCACTAAAGAATGTTATAAAATTGTGCTGTATCCTTCCTATAAGATGCTTATCATTTTCTTATATAAGATTCTTATCAATATCTTACGCATTTCCATCGACTGCCTTATATAAGAATCTTGCAGATATTCTATAAGATTCCTATAGGAATCTTATATAAGATTTGACCTATAGGGATGAAAGAACATCAGGCGGACATTAAAAATATGGAAAAAACATCAGCTGCCATTCAAAATCAGCATAAATTTGACTTCGATAATGTAGCAACATTAGCTTTAATAGCAAACTGGAAACGGCGCGGAGATTTGTGAAATAAAACGAAATTAAAACATCCTATCTTAACGACAATGTGTCGACCGAGATTAGAACGGAAAACAAGCGCCGTGATCGCTGAAATCTTTGTGTCATGCTTGCCTTAACATTCATTAAGGCTCCTTCCGTGTCGCCTTAACTAACATTTGATGATCATCACTTCACGTTTTAGTCAAAAGACAATTAGCTGGAAACTATGTTCTATGAACACATAATTGATCATATGTTCCTTTGTCTATTGTCTAGTCAAAAACGTGTTTCTCGTAAGTTCTTTGTCTTTTACTCACATTTATAGACGAAATAATAAGTCATATCTTCTTCCTATATTCATTTTCCTAAAGATGATGTGTGAAACACATCGAAAGCTTGAGAATAAAATAAAATATTAGATTTAGTATAGATCTGATCATGTAATTTGTAGCAGTTTTATACTCCTTATTCTCTTCAATACCGTGGACACTTAGGTTAACCCTACAAAAAAATATTTTATCGGCACTGGTTGTGCACGGATGCGCACTGGTGCCGAATATTTTTATTCTGGGCACCGATACGAATCGGCGCCAAAAAGAATGTAAAAATCTCGCACCCGTGCTCACCAGTGCCGAAGTTTTGTTTTGTCAATTTCTGTCTATATCAACACCAGAGTCTACTTCTAATATTTCGAATGTCTTTCTGACTTCATATTTTCCTTCTCATACGAGAAGTACCGAGGCAATGCCGCATGATTTTGGCATGTCGATGTCAAAATACTACTAGTCAGTTAGGTACTGATCAGTCCAGCACTCTAATACAAAATTCAGTATAAACAGCCATAATAAAAACCTAATTAAATTGATTAAATAAATTTCAGTGCAACACCCATGCGGATCTGATTTTTACTTGGAATTTTTCTTATAGAGATAGTTGAGTATGTGTGACGTGAAAAACAAAATATTGCGTATAGATTTTTCTGTCCTAATTGGGAAATATTTTCGTGTGGAGACAGATCAACCCTTTCCATTCAGGAAATATTTCGGACTAGAAGTAGTTCAGCCAAAAAAAATCACTGTTCGTATATCTCGGTGATGGCAACTAAGACGATGCTTCCGAAATGGGTGATTTGTTAAAAATGCGAAATATGCCGTCTCTTGTTCATCGCTGTTCTTTATGGACAAATTTATCTCATGATTAAATCTTGTGTCTGACATAAGAATAAAGATAGATCCATTAACGTGTTTATTGCACAGATGTTTTCTTTTTTGTCGTTGAATTTGCTCAAACAACAGCTACGCATTTTAATCATTTAACATAACGAGGTATCCAGTACTGAGCCATGAAATGTGCTCATGTCCTAGTTGTGACATTGTGTTTTGACGTACTTCCAATTGACTAAAACAATATACAATATTTATCACTCCAGGTCTTGATCTGCAATCGAACTATTTTTTTGCATAATGTATGTATTTATCAGTACCACAGAACCAAATAATGTCATAGATAAAAAAACGATCTTAATCAATGGTATTAATTCCAGAAGTGTTGTTCGAGCTACATTCTTAGAAAAATATGTTTTTTCAATAACTCGAGAATAAATCGGGTTAGAAACTTTGGAATGAAACTAGACTTCATATTTTTATTATAAAAACTCATTTCAAACACATTTTTTTAAATTGGTTCCTACTTAATCTCTAAAAACCCAGATGATATTTGATTATAGCAAAAATCTAATAAAAAGTTCTAGAAATGAAAAAACATATGAGTGAATTGCAGCACCATTGTACCGTTCAATTCCAAGATGTAAAAATGCAAATATCTCCGGTTCTGTTCAAGTAAACTCAATAATTTTTTTTTTATTGAGCTCTCGCCATCCTCACTCGTCCTGATAGTCATCATCTGATTTTGTCTGGCTGCTGAGTCAGAGATCAAACATGATGTAAAACTCTGATTTTTAGCGCTATCTAGCGAGCAAAATTTGTTTTTTTTCGAAAGTGGGTTTGACTTTCAAACCTGAGATAACACTAGATTTTGTAGAGAACATCTCAGACTTCCAGAATATGTGGTTTGAGTTGAAATTCGAACTTGTCTTCCTGTCGAAAAATTTAAAATATTGACTTGACAGACACGTTACCAGTTGTTTGTCCACCGATATTAAAGCTGAGTTATTTCAGTAGGTATAACAGCTAAACATCTACGATTAGCACAGAAAGATAGAGAATTGGGAGGTCTACAACTTCACAAAAAAGTTCCTCTTAAGCTTGAATAGTAAAGGCATAACGATAGAGTCTTTACTGAAAAAAAGTGATTTTCACACTAAATGTTCACCAACATTTTCATTTTTCTTTTGCTTATTTATTACTCCGTGTTGGTAAGTCGGTTTAGGTTCAAATTTCTACCCTTTTTCAAGCACGTGAAGTACTAGATATACTAAAGAATTCATCTGAAAATTTCTTTTTGTTCTTGAGATATTCAAAAAATAAGGCGAAAATGTCCACCGATACTTCTTCTGTGGAGGATGTCCACCGACATGTGATCGATCATATGTCTAACTAACGATGATATTCTTCTTATTCTTCTGTGTTTACACTATGTATATATACTGTTGATTTTCCAAATTCATGTCATTTTCTCGAAGGTGAATCTCGAAAACTAAATCAACAATAAATTAGAGTTTGTATAAAAATCTTGCTATGTTTTTTGTAGCCGTTTTATACTCAATTTTCTCTTCTTTCGCTAGCGAGAATCTTACTAAGATCTTTGAATAATCTGCCGGTAAAACTCACATTCTTATTAAAAGATGCAAACAGGAGATAATAGAGCTTTGTGTCTGTCTATCTTGACCTTCTTTTTCGCGAATTTTGTGAAAAAAAGCATTAATATGAGGTAAAAAAAACGACTTTTCAGCATGTTATGTACTGATATCTATATTTGACAGATGTCGCCTTATTATACTGTGCAATTCCCTATGTCAAGATCTATCGACGGTGTATAATACCTGCACCTTTCGACTTCGATTTGTGTTTTTTCCCGAGAAGTCCTTGGGGATTATGTCATTTTTCCAAACTCGTCCTGTTACTCGACCACAATGATAATGACAGTCGGGAAAGTGTTCGTTTTATACACACTTGGCATCGGTCTTTATCAAATGCACGGCTCAGATTTTTTTAGATTAAACTTTTTTTCAAAAGTTCCTTTTGATCTAATGGCCAAGGGATGCTGTTGCTAAGACCTCCGACATTTGTTTTCGGCAGTTTTTCCTTGCCTTAAATACACTGCAAAAGAATTGTAATCAATAATTATCCATTCAAACTAAATTTGAACACTGGCTTTTGAAAATACACTTAGAATACAGTAGTGATTTGAATATTCAAATTATAATTTAATTTAAATTATAATTTGAATATTCAAATCACTACTGTATTCTAAGTGTATTTTCAAAAGCCAGTGTTCAAATTTAGTTTGAATGGATAATTATTGATTACAATTCTTTTGCAGTGTATTTAAGACAAGGAAAAACTGCCGAAAAAAAACGTCGAAGAATCACGAAAGGAAGCACTTTTTTTTCTTGGCCGGTAGATCATTTTGACCAAATGGTACAATGGCGCTGCAATTTGCTCTTTATAAAGCGAATTATAGTATGAACGTCTGAAAAAATACTACTACCTTTATACAGATTCAAATCTGCAAAAGAGAAATACATTCTTCCCACTGAGCCATCTCTAGAACTATGATTCTAAAAACTATGTCAAAATGTTCCTAGAAATATCATACATATGAATACATAGTGTATTTTAATGAAAAAATTAAATGTATAAGAGCGCTTTCTGCAAGTTTATAATCTTTAATATTTTTTTTTTCGAATATTCACAGTATCATTTTATACAAGAAAAAAACAAATATAGTTACAAATACAAGCAGAAAAATCATGGTAGAACATAGATTGTGATATAAATAAGAAACAAAAACAAAAACAGACATGTAAAAACAATACATACATGCAAGCACGCAAAAAAACAAAAGAATCAGCACCAAATACAGCAAACAGAAGTAGAAAATTGATCAGCTTTTTTTTGAAATAAACATGCATAGAGAATGTTGGCTGACATTCCAAATTATATACTGTTCAAAGGAGAAAAAACAATTGTTTATTTTGTTTGTTCATATTTGACTAGATTTTGTATGTAGCGTATTATTCACCAGATTATTTCATCTTATTTTTGAACGTTTATTATTCGCTCGTTTAATAACTCCACTAGCACTATGACATTTTGGACAATACCAATTTGTATTTTCGGCTGGTTCTTCGGTTATTCCAACACAGTCCCTACAAACATGATTGAAAAACATTAACAAATTCGTTTCTCATCTTATCAAATTTTTAGCATTTTTTTCTTCTAAACTTACCAATGATACCAGTCGTCGCATAGATCTAAAATAAAAAGATTTATTGTTGTTTGTTCATGTTCTACGAAAACATTTTTTTATTTTTGCTATTTACCACATGCGATCATTGCTTCTTGTCCATTATCTGGTCGATTACATCCGGGGCATATCCAAACTTTTGAGTCGGTTTCATGCCAATCGATCTGAAAAAACAATAAAATGATATAGCAATTAGTATTTATAAATTAAAAAACTGTTTACTAACCACTTGATCATCCACTTTAACAGCTTTCATTCCTTTATCAGGTGATACTGGTGGCATGACTATTTTCATTTCAGTCATCTTTATTGGCGTCGACATTTTTTTACTACTATTCGTTGGAAATATTTGATTTACAGAAAAATTCATTGTGATAGGGGCTTGTGCGGGGCCTTGATGTTGAATAGAAGATCGACGACGACCACGTTGACCTAAACATATTTAAATTTCTTAAAACTAATCTTTTCTTGATTTTATATAACTTCACACTACGAACCTATACTTGCACCTCTTGTTCCTATCACTGATCCTCTACTTCCTCTTCCTCGGATTGTTGTTGTATGTGATTGCGATGGTGGCATTATATCTGGCGGAATGGTTGGTTTCCAAATAAATTCTGGTGGTTGTTTTGTTGGTAATTGTTTTCGTTTGATTCGTTCTGCTTCTGACAAAAGATGAAGAGGTATTGTTGGTGAAGCAGGTGGCAACATTTCGTTTGTCAATGATAATTTAGTCGACTGAGATTGTGATGAACGAGGAACATGTGGATGACGTTTTATAAGCGGTAAATCATCATCGTCTGTCGATGGAGGACGAGAACGTTGATCATTTGTTGAATCAGGGATTGCATTTCTGAAAGTGGAAGTGGAATGTAGTGGAGATTTACGAACAATTGCTAGAAATAAAAAAATGAAAAGTAGATATATTCAAATTAATAATTGGCTACATTGACATATACCCTGTTCTCTATGTAATTGTTCGTTCATACTATTGGATATGGCAGTTTGTGCGAGATCGTTTGTTAATTCAATATCGTCATTAATCATAGCTACTGATTTTGGTGGCCCTTTTTTTCGACTTGTTCTATTTGGCGTTTTAGTTTTACGACGATTTGATCCTGAAACAGCGGTTACTGCAATTATTGGTGGTTCTAAAACGGGCATTGGTGATGTTCGTTTCTCAATATTATCTTCAACTGTAATAATTTGTTGTTCGTGTTTAGATGGTTGAGCAATTATTTCTGGTGAAAATGTTTTATTGATAAATTTTGGTGTTTTCAGCCGAGGTGAAATTATTTTACATATCAATGGTTCACGTTTAATATGTTCTAGCGTATCATTGACAACAATTGGTTGTTCATTGGTTGCAACATCAACAGTCAATGATGGTGGAAGAGAAGTTGGCTCATTGGCAGATTCATTCAATAATATTGAGGCATTTGATTGAGATGTATCCAATTGACTCATGTCTGTAGGTCTGAAAATAAACGTCTTGTCATAATGAAGTGTGTCATTTTTCGACACCTTACTCTTCATTTTCAAACGATTGATCTTCAATAAGCTCGGGTAATGTTGATTTAACAATGCTTATATTTTTATTTTTACCAATTTTAATTTTTACACGTAGCGTGCCACCAGATGTTGGAGGGATCGGTGGAACAAGTGTCTAAAATAAAAAAACAAAAGATAAAAGAACTGAATAACACGACGGTAATAAGTATTTGATATATATGTACAGGTATTTGCGACGTGGCAGATGGAGAAACATTTTGCTGTTGTTGTTGAATATCATTTTGTTGCTTATGTTCTTTTTTCGATCGATCCTTTTTATCTTTGTGACGTTTTTTCTTTTTCTCTTTTGTTGGTGATAAATTTATAGAAGGCACCGAAGTATCTCGTGACAAAATAGACTAAAACATAGAAAATAATTGTTTGAATCCGTCAATTTCTTTGTGTCATTTGGTACTAACCTCTGCTGTTGCTGTTATTGTTTGTTGAATTGTTGAGATTTCAATTGCTTTTTGTTGTGGTATATCAGTAATGTTTGATTTTACAGGCAAATCATGTGTAATCGATGAGGGTGATATGAATTGTTCGGATGTGGTCATTGTTGTTTGAGGCTCTATTTGTTTTTGAGTAACGGGAGGAGATGGTTGTTTTTCTTTAATTTCATTTGAATTTGATATAATTAATGGCGAGATAATGGGACTTTGCTGTTGTTTACCGAAACAGGGCGATGTTAACGTTGTACGAATAGATAATTTTGACGGTTCACGAGACTAAATGGAAACATCAAAAGATTTAAGCCATAAATGAGAAAAGAGAATAGAATAGCATTTACTTCTTGATTAGATTTATGACGATGAGTGCTCGATTTTATTCTGGTCTCAGATGGTGTCGACTGAAATGATGGATGAGTTATCTAATAAATAAAAACTTGTTTTTTAAGAATGTTTTACCTGTTCAGTAGTTGATTTTGGCTTTAAACTAATTAGTAACGATGGTACTCTCCCTTGAGGAACTGTTTTTTCCGATAAATCAGTTGCCGATACATCATGCGTATCAAAATCATACACAGCACCAGTAGGCAACTAAAAAGTAGATAATATAAAAGAGAGACTAGTAGATGTTTGAAATCTTTGAAATACTTGTGATAGTTTTTGTTGATTCATCGATCTAATAACTGAGTCAATTGTTTCATCAACCGTAGTCGGTTGCGTATTATAAGATTTAGTTTGTTGAAGTGTCGATGATTTTCGATTTACATCTTTTATATGCAGTGATCGATCACTTTCACCAAATGTACTCGATGACATTTGACCGTTTTTCTTCACATCTTTCTTTAATTTTTGAGCACTTCCTGATAATTTGATAGTAGTAATTGGTTCGTGGTGATCAGATGAATTTGTAGACGATGTGATTGTTAACAATAGACGGCGATCATTTTCATCTTGTTGAGATTGACGCTAGAAAATGAAACAATATTATTAAGAGATAAACTACTAATTATCAACATACCTCTTTTTCTCGTTTTTCTTCTTCTTTTTGGCGTATCTTATCTAATTCAGTTAGACGTTGTGGGCGATATAACAGTTTCGGTAAACCACTTGTTGCTCGAACACCTTGCTTATCAGATTTTACACTGACTATAGTGCCATCCGGAGCTAAAGTTACGTTTGTTGGACGATAATGAGATGATTTTAAGGACGATAAATGTGAATCAAATCTAAATGTATAGTATGTCAAAAAATAACAACAGATTAAATATTAAAATTCATACAGCACAAATACTATTTACTTTGTTGATTTTCTCGTAATTACTTCAACACTAGCGGTGGTACCATCTTCTATCGTCTCTTTTAGTGCTGGTTGTTCTTGTTCTTGAATTTCTTCTATAATAAAACATAAAACAAGAGAGAAAAACTATTTTTATCTTCAAATTTCTATATACATACGATCGGGAAATAATGGTAGCCAATCGTAAATATATTCTGTTTGTTCATTTTCAGTTCTTTCCAGAATTTCAGAACAATTTTTCATGGGTATTTTTAAAAATAACTTAGATTTAACAGGAAATTTTAATATGTCATGTGCATAGGGTAATGAATTAAACTGTTCCATATATTCTTGAATTTCATCCATACTTTCATTAAAATTTACAAAAACAGGCAATAAATCTTCCATCACCGCATTTGGATATTCAATACGATTCTCTAAACATAAGAAAAACTTATTAGTGATAGAAAAATAAAATGAAATGGTATGTTCTAGTACCAGTCTCAATGAGATTATGTGTTTCTTTAGCATAACATTTCATTTGTCTTTCGGCTACATCCACAAGAATATCTAATGCTGTTAAAGATATAGATGAAAATCCAATTGTATCACATATTTGAGAGATTGCGATTTTTAAAACTTCCCGAGCATACAACATAGACATTTTTTTTTATAGGATAAAAAAATAAATTTATCTAAAATAAATAAAATCGTCTGAAAAGTCTTTTAAAGCGAACAACTATCAGAAAATAAAATCTCATTGCATATGCATTAATCAAATTTTCATTTTTAATCAGTTCGTTTATTTGTCCAACTTTTTAAATTGTATAAGCAAGGCGTCCTCACTTTTTTGATATAATACTGCTTTATGTAGATAATTTATAATGCTGAGTACGAACTGAAAGTTCGTTTCGGTAATAATCGTTTTTGTAATTTGAATTCTACAAAATTTCAACATCCACTTGTACAGAAACAGTTTTTGCCATTGTTTGTAGAGAACATCGAATTATCTGTATGTACGAACTAACAGATAACTATCTGCGAAGTTATCATATTTTCATTAGAAAAATAAGTACTAAAATCATTTAAACATCCTAAAACCCATCTGTTTGTGATAGACACTATTCTGCTGGTCTGATAAAATTTATACATACGGTTTACTCCTTATTTTCCACAAACTGGTTCTTAAAACATTGTTATATTGAATTGCAGAAACCAGATTCCAAAACCAGTCCAAAGAACACTTAGAAGATGTAACAAAATTTAAAACTCGTTACAGCAGCGTGAAAAATTACCTATAAAAAAATGGATTTATTAAAAAGCGAGACAATTGTGAAGCTCTCCTCTTTGAATGGGAACGCTCGCATAGCGTTTCTAAGATCATCAGTCGGGTCTCCTCTATGTCAGTCGAAATAGAGATGTTTATTCATCGAGCAATAAGCAACAAAACTACATTTGGTTATAATAAGTGTACAAAAGAAAAAAGAAAGAAAAGAAAATGAATACGTGGGAAAAAACGGAAGACGCCATATCCATTTGATTATATTGTTTTAGAGGGTGATCGACAAAACAGAACATGAATAATTACGTTTCTTCTCACATGTTCGAAATGAATGTTTTTTCTCTTTCGGTGTCTAAGTGAACAAAAATGAACCTTTAAGATTCATAACAAAAGAAACAAAAAAAATTAATAAATAAATAATTTGCAACAGATCTCTTATAACGGATAGGTTATTACTAGAAAAATAAATAGAATAAATTAAAAGTATGCTGTTATTACACAAATGAACTCCATTACTCTCCACATCTACAACAGTATTTTTGTCTCGATTGAAGATTTTTACATCCATTGGCTTGTCCAAGAAATGGTTGTTGACATGAATTAAGATTATCACAGTAGAACAGATTATCTGGTGTCAACTGAAAATTTTGTGAAATTAATTGAAATACACAATACGATGATATATTGACACAGCCGGATAAGTCCAAATAAGTTAATGATGTACAAAAATTTTCAATCAATAAACTAAAATTAAATAATCAAAGTTAAATATTTGTAATAATATGAAAAAAAATTGAATACCTTAATCCATCATCAGTGATTCGATGACATCCCGATAAACCTAAATGTGTCAATGAACTAAGTGGTCTATTTATTTTTGTTTCATTCATCAATGGACAAGTTGAACAAGCTGATGTTATTGAACGACAACATTGTTTTGTTTGTGTTAATTTTATTTCTTCTTGAATAAATAAATAATGATGACATTTTTCACAAACAGGATGTCGACAATATTCTGAGGCTATTGCTGATTTGAGTAAATTTTTGTCTGATGGTAATTGAATACAACAAAAACTTTCTAATACACATAGAATATTGTCTGATGAAAGTCCATATTGAGAATGATCCAATGGTGTTTGATGGAGAGTTAAATAGGAAAATAAATTGTTATCAATTAACTCACATCCTTCTAGAATAAGTGATTTCAATTTGACTGACGAACGAAAACTAAAATTACACAAAATTAACAGATATATGTTTTAGAATCGCAAAAGATTTCTAAACTCAGATCTAAAAGAAATTTCTATTGAGACAGAATCTCATAACTTCAAATTCCATAGGGAAAAGACGAGTGCTTATATGAGGCAAGTTCAATGTATCTACTCGTAATGAGCAAAAAGCATTTTTTTTTTTTATCAAAAGAAGTAATAAGTGCAGAAGAAAAGCAGAAAGCATTTTTTTTGTTTTTCTAAAGAAGATTTAGTCAACTTTGCATAGTAAATTTCTTACACTTTATAAGAAAATTTTTTACAAATGTATTGACTACTATCTATCTAAACATAAAAGAAAGATTATTAGTATAGTTGAATATTATACATACTATTTAAATGCTTTTGATGTTAATTTTGTCATACCAACATTGACATGAGTCAGATTTGGACAAGAATCAAATATTTTTCTAGACTATAAAAAAAAGAATAAATATTGTATATGTTACTACATAATACTAAGTTGTACCGTATTATCCGTTAATGTTTGACTTGCATATAAAATTAATTGTTCAACGTATTTTCCATATTCTGGTAAAAAATATTTGATCAAACCCAATAATATTCGATTTTCATTGATTTTCTACAAAGTGCAAACACAAGCACACGGTAGATAAAAGTTTTAAATAGAATAAAATCTTACATATAAGTCATTGTCTAAAAATTGTTGTTGTTCGTCATCAATTTCATATGGGACTTTTGTATCCCATTGACCTATTAGAAAAAGAGACTAGTTAATTTAGAAAAGTATCTTATTTATGTGTATGTAGTCATATACCTCTGGCCCAATTGATTGGAGTGATTATTTTCCAATTTTGCTTATCATATGTTAATTTTCTCCAATGTTTAGATACTCGAGAACATGCCACAATTAAATCACGTGGCGTTAAATAAGAAAAGATACGAAGTAGGAGTTCTGCAGGTAATTTTGAAATTGGAGAACGTAAATCACGAACTAGAATATGTACCGAAATGTCTTTTATCGTGGAGTAACAAATAGTATATAATATTTACCTTTTTGTGCATGCCGTTTCCATTTTTTATTCACTCTTACGCATGATTTTAAATCTTCGTTACATAATTTTGATAGTATACGTTCAAATATATCATCGGGTATCATTTCTAAAATATGATGATGACAACACGATATCACTAAACAAAAATTTGACAGTATAAATATGATGTAAATCACGTATAATAATAACATTTACTAGTGATTTTTAGTGGTCTTTCAATCTCCACAAACACATTTTTTGAATAATTTTTCTTTTGTAATGTCATTTTAATTACTTCGGTTCTCATTATTTTCAACTCATTAACTGAAAAATATTTAAGTAGTAACGGTTGAACATCTTTTTCTTCTTCGTCCATGTGTGGTAAAAAATCTTGATAAAATTTTCGAATAGCTTTACGTAATTTCATGCCGTATGTTACACGATCTGCGTTTCCACGTCTAATAAACGAGTAACCATCACGAAATAGAGCCATTAGCGGTGTAAAACGATCATCTTTATGGCAATTACATACAACATTGATATCCTCTGATTGAGCCTATAATAAACATATCTTATCGTGAATGTAACAGTGAAGTTCTTTTGAATTTTATAAGTTCTTTCAGCTGTGCAGTGGTTGGTTACCTTTAGTTTTTTACTCAACTTCCCCATAATAAACTGATTTTCAATTTCTTCATGTGCCATAAACTCTGTGAATGTTGTCTGTAAACGTTGTAATAATTCTTCTAAATCATCGTTACATGTAAAATCAGTATGACCGGCCTAAAGTTAAAGAAGATTATAAAAAGAAAAAATGACACGTAAGATACATTTACTTTTGATGTACAGCAATTCATCAATTTCTTCATTCGACTATGAGGAAATGTAAACACATTGACTTCATCAACGAATATTGGAGGCATTACGACCATAGATCCCTTTCTACACACAAATACATATCTGAAACATGTGGGTAAAAACAGTGATCACTAATGACTGTCATTATCAAAGGGATTCAAGCGTTTTCTACAGTGAGGAAAAAGTGCGTATACCTACTCTGTTATTTAAGTCAGAGTGTATCCGCAAAAAAAGAAAAAAACAATATACAACACTAATAAAGCGTATGTCTATCTTTTTACTTAATAAAAGCATAATCTGTATTCATCATCATCGAAAAAAATCTCTAAATTGACGAGTTAATCTGATAAAATCACTATTTCTGTTTAAAACTGTACATGCGCAACTTTTCACTTACATCTAAACTACTGAAGTTTGATATAAAGTTTTTGATATCTGGATTTTATGAAATATAACTCTTTTCACGACAGATTGAACACTTTGCCGCGAAGACTTTTACTCAAATGTCCGGAAAAGTTATATATTATATCTGTATTGACAATAGACTAAGAATACTTGGAAAAGGTTTTAGTTCCGTGCGCATTTTGTAAGATAATATTTTTGTCTCAGATCAGTCTAGCTCGTCACCCACATGAACGCCATCTCACAGCACCAAAAAAGCGACTGACTTCACACCGTCCACTGCATCTTTAAATTGATATCCTGTCTCAGTGAGGACTTTTTTTGTCTATTTTTTTTGCTTCAAACAGTGCTGCAAAAGGGATTTGGTCAGTGTCATGGCTAAGCATATAAGATCCTTCGTAGTTCACGAGCATTTTTTGTTTAATTTCTTTGTTGCGATTCAGCATCAATCTATTCTATCTTTTCCAGTACATCATAGAAAAATTGAAGTTCTTTTCGAATAAAATAGTGAAATGATTATTACTAGAAAAGACCTGAACTGTTCGATACAAGCTGTTTTTTGAACAAGTTATAAAAAGAATGATCTCCAGGGTTAAGCGCAAACAGCGTTTTTTAACCCATACAGTTATAGGCCTCATGTTTTTGCGGGTTTATGAAGGCTGATTAGAAGAAAAAGAAAGAAAAAACAGGGTTAATTGGATTGATCGAGAAAGTAGACATGAGTGATGCATAAAAGACTTTTTACAGATGCTTCGCAAAAGTATGAGCCCACGTTTGATGAGAGATCGATTTGCATCAATTCTAAATATGTAACACAGAAAGAACAAAAGATAGTTAATTGATCACAGTGGTACTTCAGATGGCGCCTATATACAGTACTAAAAACAAACAGTACGTTTCAGCAGTGTTAGAGAAAAATCATTGAAATAGTTTTTTGTCTCAAAGAATAGAATTCTTCGGGTGTCCTCGCGTAATGTTAAGATATTTGACTGTTAGTAGTCGAAATCATTGTCAGACTAAGAAGGAAAAAAATAAGGTTGAGAAGCTACAATTTATAGCGATTGATGGGTGGGTGGTAAGTTAGGTAAGTAAAGCCTTAATCCAAGGGAAAAAAGCGTTTTTAGAATGGCAGAATGGGTCGAAATGGGCTGGAGTGGCTGGAATGGACCAAAATGGGCTGGAATGCAAAATCGATGGAATTTGTTATAAGCTATTTATTGAAAGAAAGAAATTCATGTACTTCTGTCCATCAAAAGAGAGAACGAGTCCCCATTTTTATTGATGATGACACAAGGAACATAGATTAATTCAAAAAGATAAAACAGCTGAGTGCAGAAGAAAATAAAACCAATCTATAGTCAAATGGAAGAAGGAAAAAGAAACAACAGTACTAGAAATAATAAAGAGAACGTATACACGCACTATATTAAACAGAGAGAGAGAGAGATCTAGGGTAAAAGAAAAAGAGACTTTCGCTTTTCCCCCCTTCCCTTAATCATACAAGATTGTTAAAAATGATTTTCCATTAGCGATGGTCACTTCACAACACAATGTTCGAATTTCTAAGTTAGTGAGTAAAAGTTGTATCATTTTTATGTATATTTCTGCACTTTCGTCACGTTCCTCAAACCACCTAAATAAAAGTATTGAGAAATTCTGAGCGAATTCAACATCTAAAGGTATGTATACATTATTATTGTTAACCCTTTCAGGACCGGGTTAATTTTTATATAAAAAGTGCTGTTCAAAAGTTGAAGACCTTTTTTATTTTGCAATATCTCGGCTTCCCTGACAGATAGAGACTTCATCCTTTTGTCAAAAGAAA